TAATAATACGAGTAATAATAATAATATTAGATTGCATTTATATAGCGCTCTATCCCATACTGGTATAAGCTCTGAGCACTTTACACCAATCACATAATCATTCACATAAGAATAAACATTTCACAGAAAAAAGAAAAACCAGTTCAACCACATAAAGAGAAACGTTCACAACCATACATTAACCACGATCCTGTCTCCACGGCGGGCACCTGCGAAATATACAAGTTTGATCAACATTTTTTCAGTAGCCCACACACGCATTTTATTTTGACGACTCGTCAAAAAATGTCAAACGGGTTTGATAGGTCAAAATTTTGATTCAAATCCTTTTTTTTTCTTTTTTTGAAATCAAAACGCCCTATAACTCAGTAAAATTTTGTATCAATATTTTGATATCAAAATTTTGAAGCAAAATTTTGACGCTTTTTCGAACGTGTATAGGCCCCTTTAGAGTAGAGATGAGCTGTGTTCAATTCGTGATTCTCTGTTCCAGGAACCAAGCCACTGGTGTGGCCTCTGCCATGGCCCGACTCGGAGCGATGTTGGCGCCTTTTACAGGCATCATGGTGAGTACTGTCACGTCATCATTTGAGTCGTGCTACGTTTTACAAAATCTCTTTGTTTTGTTTTAAAGATTTTTTTGCCGTTAAAACAACAACAAAATGAAGAAAAAACCCCCACAAAAGATCCTAAAAAACAGAACAAAACAAAAAACAAACCGGGTTAAAAATAGAAATAAATGCACTATAACTGTGTGGTTTTGTTAGTTTTTTGGGGTTTTTTTTTTTTTGGGGGGGGGGGTTACAGTTGGCAAGCAATGTAAATTTATATTTGGTTGTGCCAGTGATTGATATTTTTTTTAGGAGCACTAACAGAGAACCAGTGTGTTATGACTAATATAGATATTAAAAAATGCTGACTCTCCCCCCACCCCCACGCGTAAAAAAGAAAGATAAAATGGACAAAATTCCCTCTTTACGCGGAAAAAATGGCAATTTCTTCGATTTCAGTATAATTTTGACTAGTGCTTGTTTTCACCACGATGGCTCGCGTCTGACGTTGCGACTCCTCTACTACATTGTTACGTTTTTCAAAATTCTCTTCATAGATGGAGATTGCAGTCTGGCTCCCAGGTCTGGTCATCGGGCTGTTGGCGTCACTGGTTGCCTGCGCTGTGACAGCTCTGCCGGAGACGAGGGGGAGAGAACTGCCACAGACCCTGGACGACCTAAAGGCCTGGTACGAAGAGGACAAGAAGAAGAAATCTGACAATAAATTAATCAACGACACTGAGACTGCGGCCTGATAATCACAACAGTTTTGATCGTCTTTTAAAAGCAAATTAAATAATTATAGTGGTACTTGCAAAAAAGAAAAATCAAAGGAGGACATAAGAAATGAACTACATAGCCCCCTTAACATTCGTGTCAATAATAAGTAAGTAAAACAGTTTTGGTTTTAGTAGAGGGTTTTACGGCGCTCGCAACTGCATAAGGTCATATGAGCGCCAAGGGGTGGATGTCAACAGAGAAGTCTTTACAGGGAATCAGGCTTACTCTGCTCACCTCTAAAGCTTCAACAGCACAAAGTCTGTTTCGACTATCAAGGCACCCCGGAAATAGCGGGTCACAAGAGAGTGACAAACATACAAAAGAAGTAGAGGAAAATGA